CGCTGATACACAGTAAAGAGCGTCGTGTGGCTGGTTTGGCGGAACACTTTCACGTAAGTTCCCTTGGCCCCCTGCTCCCGGACCTCTTCATACTCAGGTGATGCCAGAGGAGCCTTGTAAAGTTAAATTACAGCCTCCGTCGGAGGCCCTAGTCCGAAACCCATGACAGCCATCAATGGTTTTCTTGCCGCTGGCCCGCATTCCCTCCCTCCTGCACTACTTAAAGATGGAGGTGAAGTCCTCTGCAAAGCACTGATCTTAATCGATTGCATCTGGAAAGAAGAGAGCGTCCCGGCTAATTGGAGCGCATTGAGTATAGCGGCGATACACAAAAAGGGCAGTCGCACAGACGGTTCTAAACACAGGGGTATTAGCCGAACGACAATGGTGACAACTACTGTCCTCCATTATCGTTCGTCGCCACACTGCGGACGCGTATACAATGACAGAGAGGGCTGTTCTGGTGTATGGTAGTGAGACTTGGCCCACTCCGTCTGAAGAGCTCTGGCGCCTTCAAGTCTTTGATGATAGTTGTCCGCGTACCATTGCTGGAGTCGCATGGCACAGGGGTGTCCGCAAGGAGGATGTGCGTAGGCGAGTACTAGGCAGTGATAACCATGCTACCTCCGTAGAACATAGGTAGAACTGATTAAGCACCGTTGGATGGGGCACGTGCTACGTATGCCATGTCACCATATACCTAGGAGGGCCTTGGTTACTCTGCCAGGTGTAGGGTGACGCAGTGCTAGCGGTGGACAGAAGTTTACTTGGCAGCGGGAAATGAAGTCACCGATGACGGAACTGCGTGCCGTGGGTCCTTCCCTTATCTTTGCACGATAGCCAGCTGTTTGTGACGGCATGTTGTCTACCCAACGTACGGGCGCCTTGACCCTAAATGTTTCCTTAGGGCATTAAGGTTATCAGGTAAGTCCCCCTTCTCTCCCTCTTCTTATTCAACCATGATTGTTCCTCATGGTTGCATGGCTGTGAAGCATTACTTCAAATCCCTGATTTGCTGCTGTTGCTGATGATGATGATGATGCTTGGGTCTGGCTCTAACCATTAAACAATCTGGTATGAGTGTCTGTGAATGTGCAAATCGCAACACAGCTAAGGTCAGTGGATCGATGAGGCACGCAAACCATCGCACCATGGTGACGTCTACTGTCAATGCTATTCATTGGAATTGCACTGTCCGCGGTGTGGGGGCAGTCCTCGTTATTACAAGCGGAGTTGCCCTGTCTTCATTTACAGGAAGGGTTCATTGGCAGACCATACGCTTCACATGCTATTCACATTGCTCTTACATCCTGCTTTCTCTTTCAGCGGCAACGCCCAATGAGTCCCCCATCGCCTTTCTACCTGACGTCCACACTCATCGTACTGCCCCTTACTGCGGCGGGCATGTGATTCACCATTGGTATGCAGCCAGGGTACGTTTCTTTTCGGTAACCACAAACTTTTCAGAGCCTACGCTGTTCTTTGAACGGTATATCGCTACGTTCTAGTTCGGTCTGTGTTACTCCAAAGTAACACATATTAACTGTTACCTGTGTCTTGCTGTTTTTGGACCTCCGTCCAAGCCGTTTTCCAAAAGTCGTTTTTTCGCGTCGCGTGTTCACCGTTTTACTCCACCGTTTTACTCCAGTTTTTACTGATTATTCTTATCATGGTGAAGAAACGTATGTCACCCAAACCTGACAAAAAGAAAACACTGGAACAAGCCGCCCGTGACGTCAGTGTGGCAGGCCCATCTCAAATACGAGATTGCAAATTAGTGCTCGTAGATCCGCTAGCAGAAGCTCTGCACAAAGTCCGTGTTCTCGAAAGTCAGGTAAACTCACTGAAAGAAGAGTTTACATCTCTTGCGACGCTACTAAATAAGGTCATGCCTTTGGTCAACCTGAGCAACCTCCAAACTTTGGCTAGCCAACCTGATATGCTAGCTGCAGGTGAAATATTGAATAGCGTTACGTACGAGGTCAGTGAACGCACTCGTCGTGCCAATAACGCGGTTGCATTCAACGTACCTGATAAGATACCGCTTAACAAGGTGTTGCGTACTCTTCTCAATGATTGTAGACTACTACACGATTGCTGTTCAGCTACCCGCCTACGTAAGATCCCTGGCCGATCTTTCCCAATAGTCCTGCAATTTAGCAGCCCCGTGCTGGCTAAACGATTCCTTGCTGCCCGATATGTTTTGAATCAGCACTCGAATCTCGGGCGTATTCTGATTAAACCGGACAGAACCCCGCTGCAAAGCTCAAATTTGCCTACTAGTTCAGTTTCTCAGAAGAAAGAAACTCGAGCGACATCATTCACAGAACCCAAACCCACAAATGCGCAAAAAATCCAACCTGTTGATGTGTTCTGTGACACTGTAGTAATCCACTTGTGACCAAAGTGTCTAAGGGAATGGCTACTTCTGGCCACCGAATGTTTCTCGTAGTGCCAGTTTCTGTTGATCATCTTCACCTCAGCATTTCTACTTAGTAGCAACTAGTGGTCGTAGGCTCTATGCATCTCTGCACATTTCCGGAGCCTGCCAAGTGTAACCTTCTTGTATCCCCAACATTCATTCTTTCTGACTGTCTGCGTCACATTCATTTGCTGACCGTTGACTTATTCTGGGACACTTTAGGTATCCACTAGCCACTAGAAGCCTACACCCCAATGCCATTGCTATTTGCGGATATTCTATCTCACCTTGTATCATCATCAGTTCTTCGTATTACTTATGTCACCACTTTTAGCTGCAGCCAGTCATAGTAATTAGCATACATATCTACGCTAGTAGCCACTCTGTATCTCTCCCACTTACTCTCTTGAATTGTTATCATCACATACCTTCACTGGTTTGTTGACGTCTTCTGTCACTGTAAGTATCTAATAAAAACTAAAAGTCTCAATGGAATTCCGTTGCTGCCCACTGGTTCTCTCACTAAGCACAATTATCCTTCGTTCTTCTTATCTTCATTACTTTTACTGCAGTGATTCATTGTAGGCTCCATATATCTTTGCGCTTATACGGAGCTACTAGAATACATTCTTCGTTTCTTCATCCTGTAATCTCTCAGAATGACTGTATCCCTTACCTTCGCTGGCTTGTTGATGTGTTCTGTGACACTGTAGGAATCCACTTGTGACCAAAGTGTCTAAGGGAATAAATAAATAAATAGTATATTCTCGGTAAAACGAGACACACCTGTAAAGTCTGGCTAGCCGAACAACCTCCTCGTGGTGCCAGCTGGGTGGTTCGGGTTTAACCCGTTCCAGCAAATGGTCCGGCGGCAGTGTTCCAGGACGTGGTGGGTTTTCGCCTGGCAAGCGTTCTCCTTATAAAAAGCCACAAATGTCTGCTTAACAACACTGTGACGTGGCGGATGTGACTCGCCACAAACTAAAGTCACTGGCCCGTGGATATTCGGAAAATGCTATCCAATCCACGAAAATCAATCGCTTATTCCCACATTCCTGACGATAACAAACAGTCAAAAATTCTGCGGCGCATTCAAAAACATAAGCTACATTCCTACACAATTTCATACGTATATACACCCATATACTTACATACACTGTTATGCTAAACATGTCCTTTTGTACAATTTGTTCACACTATGTTAGCTAAGTATGATCATGCCTGTCAAGGTGTGCTTCGCATTATCGAGAATAAAAATTTATTTATTTATTTATTTATTTAAATATGCACACAAGCCTAGATTCGGTAGAATGTAAAAACATTTCATTTTAATGAAAGTTATAAAAGAAAAGATGTTGTCCGTATGAGTGAGCATACTGTCAGGTAATAGTCAGGCTCAGGGACATTATAAATAAATAAATAAATAGTAAATTCTCGAATTTCCGAGACACACCTGACCAGGCATGATCAACGTTTACAAGCCATTTATGTTTCTCAACAAACACGTTGCTATGTATGTAATCGGCAGTAAGCCGAAAGTTGTCCA